GGAGCACTGCAGCAGCGCTGTCCTGCTCTCCGGGGGGGCGGCGCCGGAGCGCAGAGACGACCGCGCGCTCCGCGCGGCTCGGATGCGCGAGGCGGGCGCCCCCCGGCTCTCGGCACGCGAGGGATGGGGCATCCACGGCGCGCTGCCGCGGGTGGTCCGCCAGCTCCTCCTCCTCCTCCTCCTCCTCCTCCTCCTCCTCCTTTCCCCCTCCTCCTCCTCCTCCTCCTCCTCCTCCTCCTTTCCCCTCCTCCTCCTCCTCCTCCTCCTCCTCCTCCTCCTTTCCCCCTCCCCCTCCTCCTCCTCCTCCTCCTCCTCCTCCTCCTCCTCCTCCTCCTCCTGCTCCTCCTCCTCCTCCTCCTCCTCCTCCTCCTCCTCCTCGCCCCAGGAGTCCCGGGGAGGCCCAGGCGGCCTCCCAGAGCACCCCCTCACGAGGCCCAGAGAGGGCCCCAGAGGCTGCCAGAGGGCGCGAACAGCTCGCTTGGCATCGCGTCTGTCCGCAGGCCCGGTGCCGCGTCGCCTCTCGGCGGCGGGCGAGGAGGGGGAAGGGAGGAGGAGGCCCTCGCAGGAGGCGGCGGGCCCTCTCAGAGGCCCTCGCGCCTCCCGAGCAAAGTGTCCTGTGCCCTCGGGGGAGGCACGCAGACCTCCTCGGAAGGCCAGGGGGACCTCCGGGCCGTCTGAGAAGGCCTTCTCCTTCTCATTTCCCTCTAATTTTTCAGTCGGGCCTGTCCCTCCACAGGGGGAACATTCAAAAATATTATCCCGGCAAAGCAACCTAACAGCGATGTGTAGAAGCATATATGGAAACATTCCCCTTAAGATCCAGATGATAATCCAGTTGTAGAATTCTGCTGTTCTCGCAGTCGCAGTCGCATTCGCGATGACAGTCGCAGTGGCAACGGCAGTCACAGTCACAGCCTCAGCCTCAGCCTGCCTCAGTATCAGCCTGCCTCAGCCTCAGCCTCAGCCTGCCTCAGCCTCAGCCTCTCAGCCTCAGCCTCAGCCTGCCTTCAGCCTCGGCCTCAGCCTCAGCCTGCCTCAGCCTCAGCCTGCAGCCTCAGCCTCAGCCTCAGCCTCAGCCTCAGCCTCAGCCTTCAGCCTCAGCCTTCAGCCTCACCTGCCTCAGCCTGCTTCAGCCTCAGCCTCAGTCTGCCTTCAGCCTCGGCCTCAGCCTCAGCCAGCCTCAGCCTCAGCCTGCATCAGCCTCAGCCTCAGCCTCAGCCTGCCTCAGCCTCAGCCTGCCTCAGCGTCTGCCTCAGCCTGCCTCAGCCTCAGCCTCAGCCTCAGCAGCCACAGCCTCAGCCTCAGCCTCAGCCTCAGCCTGCCTCAGCCTCAGCCTGCATCAGCCTCAGCCTCAGCCTGCCTCAGCCTCAGCCTCAGCCACAGCCTGCCTCAGCCTCAGCCTCATGCCTCAGCGTCTGCCTCAGCCTGCCTCATCCTCAGCCTCAGCCTCAGCCTCAGCCTCAGCCTCAGCCTGCCTCAGCCTGCCTCAGCCTCAGCCTGCCTCAGCCTCAGCCTGCCTCAGCCTCAGCCTCAGCCTCAGCCTGCCTCAGCATCAGCCTGCCTCAGCCTCAGCCTCAGCCTCAGCCTGCCTCAGCCTCAGCCTCAGCCTGCTTCAGCTTCAGCCTCAACCTTAGCCTCAGCCTCAACCTTTTCCTCAGCCTCAGCCTCAGCCTGCATCAGCCTCAGCCTCAGCCTCAGCCTGCCTCAGCATCAGCCTGCCTCAGCGTCTGCCTCAGCCTGCCTCAGCCTCAGCCTCAGCCTCAACCTCAGCCTCAGCCTCAGCCTGCCTCAGCCTCAGCCTGCCTCAGCCTCAGCCTCAGCCTGCCTCAGCAGCAGCCTGCCTCAGCCTCAGTTGGCTACGGGCATTCAAAATGTGGCCCGGGAATGGAGTTCTGGGAACTCGAAGAGCACGAAGTGGCCTACAGTTGGCTCCGGGCATTCAAAATGTGGCCCGGGAATGGAGTTCTGAGAACTCGAAGAGCACGAAGTGGCCTACAGTTGGCTCCGGGCATTCAAAATGTGGCCCGGGAATGGAGTTCTGGGGACTCGAAGACCACGAAGTGGCCTACAGTTGGCTCCGGGCATTCAAAATGTGGCCCGGGAATGGAGTTCTGGGAAGTCGAAGAGCACGAAGTGGCCTACAGTTGGCTCCGGGCATTCAGAATGTGGCCCGGGAATGGAGTTCTGGGAGGTCGAAGAGCACGAAGTGTGTGACTGTTGGCTTAAAACGACTTCTGCGGCACCCTGTCCGGCACCCGCCCAGACCCCCCTGTGGAGTCATCTGCTGCTCTCTTTTGAGACCACTAGAAACCTATCAGTCTTCGCTGTTAGGTAAGTAAAAAAGTAGTCTGGGGACCATCTCTTACTATTTTCGAGCATTTGGGGAGTATTTTTGGGGCATTTTATTATTTCGTCCAAAATCCCCCTGTAGTGGGACAGGCCCGACCTAACCCCAAACACTGAGGGCCGAACAGAAATATGTGTTCGCCCCCCCCCCCCCCCGCTCAACAAAAAACGCCCAGTCGCCGCCGACTGGTGCCTCTCCGCCTGCTCCGCAGCAGCGCGCCGACGGGCTCCCCCCACGGCGGCGTGCGTTCGCTCCCCCCCCCCCCGCCCAACAAAAAACGCCCAGTCGCCGCCGACTGGTGCCTCCCCCTCGGCCCGCCCCTGCGCCCGGACCCCTCCGCCAGGCAAGCCGCAACTGGGGGAGCTGTGGTCCTTACCCCTCTGGGGGCACCATCCCCAGAGTGGCTTGCCCCTGGAGGTCCCGCCGGCGCCAAGCACGATCGAATGCGTCATGGGCGCCCGGGCGCCTGCGAAGAGCTACAAAGAAATGCCCTCACCGTGGGCACGGGCCTCGGCCCTCGAAGTGAGAACAGCTCCCCCAGTTACACGCCGGTTTTTGAAGGACAGGTCTTTCGGGACTCCCAGATCCCAACGTATTTCAAGTGCCTTCCTGCTTCAAGGATCGGCATGCTTCTGCTGCTTTTTTTCTGATTCTCTGGGGGGACCTGCACCCAGTCCACTATATCCGCCCTCCTACTTCATATTTCTACCTACGGTAGAAGGAAACAATTACTGAACACCCCCCGTCCCCCCCAAACTCAATGTTGGCACGCGCGCAGGAGACTGCGGTCGAAGTGCATCTCGTCAGACCCACCGCCAACTTTGAACATTGGGGGGAGGGGGAAGCGTTGACGGATGAATGTGGCATGTGTTCGCTAATTTGTTCCGAGGCCTGTACTTCTCCCGACCGACGGGTATGGCTGGTCGGTCCGCCCCGCCCCGCGGCCTCCTCCCCGCGGGCGCGCCCTGCGGGGGGGGGAGGGCATGGCGGCGGGCCGCGCCCCCAGGCTTCGCCTTTGCGAGCGGCGCCGGGAAGACGTGCACCGAGCTGGTGACCGCCCGCTCGCCCGCGGGGGGCTCCGTCCTGCGGGCGCGGGGAGTATTCGGACGTCCGTAAGGCCTTTGGGCCTTCTGAGAGGGCACGCCCCCTCTTCTTCCTCCCTGGGCGCGCCGCCGACTGGGGTCGTGGACGCTCCTTGGAGGACTTTTGGGGGGATCTTGGGGTTGCTTTGAGCGGGCTCAGCTTCTGTCGGGCGGTCTCAAACACGGGTCCATGGGGGCGTGGAGTAGCGACGGGTCCCGTTTCCAGGGGAGAGCGCGGACTTCCGCCGCCGAGCGAGGCGGCACTGGCCGCACTTTCGGGGTGAGCGCCTTTCCCGATCCATGGACTTGGCGACCGCGCGCCAAATCCATGGATCGCTAATCCATGTTTGCGCGCCCCCGCAGTATGCACACCACCACCATCACCTTCAGCCCCCCCATCCCCTCCTCCAGCCTCATCTTTCCTCTCTCCTGGGAGAGGCCGGGGGTGAGGGAGGCGTTGGTGGTGTGTATTCTTGGGCCCCAGACTTTCCTCCCCAGACCCCGACGTCGTGATTCTTGCACAACTTCGACCCCAGAAGTCTGGACCCCTTCCCCCAGACCGGTGTTTCATCACGAGTTGTTTGTTAACGGTCCCGGGGCCCGGTCAGGGGCCCCCGGAGGCCGAAACCAGCGAAACAGGTCGCGTCAGAATTGTTTCACAACGCGAGTGGCTGTGGGTCTGTTCTAGAGGAACAGGAACTGGCAGAAACCTATTTCACGCTTCGCGTATCCCCGCCAAGCGTTGCCAGTGAGTGAGAGCCGACGGGGATACGGACGAAGAGACACGTACAGTGAAACAAAGCGAGCAACCAGGATGAACAGAGAGATCGTTGGGAGCGAGGGGGTGGGCTTGGAGGGTCTCTTCCATCCCTAGGGCACGCGGGGGAGCTAGGGGAGGAGGAGGAGGAGGAGGAGGAGGAGGAGGAGGAGGAGGAGGAGGAGCTTGGGGCGCTCTTGGGGGTCTCTTGGAGCTCTCTCGGGGCACTCTTGGGAGCCTTGTGAAGCTTCTTGGGGCCATCTTCTAGGGCGTCGATCAAAGGAAAGGGGGTCCAGAATTTCCCCCTCCCCCCCAAGAGTCTTCGGAATCCTCTTTGGGGGCGCTTTTGGGTCGCCATTGGGCGCCATCATCCCACAGAGGGCATCTTATATCGGGCCTGCTTGGAGCCTTTGTTGAAGGCCGCACTTGACTTGGGCATGGGGGGATATGACTGGAGAGGAGAGGGTTTCGGTAACGTTGAAGGGGGGAAGATCCGAATATGGTAGTTATCGTGTCCTGCTGTTTCTTGTTTGTTTAACGCGAAAGCCGCCCAGGCCAGGCAGCATAGACTGAGCCAGACTTCAGCCTGCATAACATTAGCCCCAAGACCCTTTCGATTCAAGCAAGACCCTCGGTGAGGGGTGGTTAACGGCTAGACCGGTATGGAGGAGGTAGGAGTGGAGGTGGATGGAGGGGGGATGTGGTGGAGGAGATCATGCACTCCTGGAAGCAGTCACATGTTTCAATCTTGCGTGCGGCGGCAGCTCAGAGCCGGTCTGCATAGCAAGCGTGTCGCAAATGCACCTCCTTAGTCCCACGCGTACCCCGCTGACTCTAGGCTCACACCTTGAAGGCACTTGCAAAAACGAGACACTCGAGCAGGCGGGAATGTGTATTGTCCGTGCGGGCGGTGGCAATTCCGAGAGATGGAGACGCTCCTGGAGGTAGGCACGTGCTTCAAGCTTCTTTCTGGAGGAGGTGGGGGAGGAGGTGATGGATGTGTGGAAGAGCTCGCACATCATTCATGCCTCAAAGTTTCAGCCGCAAGACGTTCAGTTTGTGTCGTTCTGCCGTACACTTCACTAGACCGTGCTGCGCGAGTACCGCGGAACGATGCCCTGAGGCGGACTCTTTTTCGGTCATCCCCCCTCTGTGATTCAACCTGCCTGCAGGGGCCGCTGCCGTTGCGACGAGGGGTGATGGTGATAATGATGACGACCTTCGATGGCGGTTAAGGGTGAAGACTCGCACGCGAGTTTCAAGCGCTGACCCCCTGCGAAGTCAACCTTTGCTTCGGCAAGGGTCCAGAGGCATACAGAGGGCACCATTCGGGATCTAGAGCACCTGCCGCATCCACTACTAAGCGTACTGCCCTCGAGGAGGGCCCTTGTCTTAGGGGAGGTGGTGGGAGGCCATGATGTTGGGATGAGGGATTGGGGGGACCTTGTTTGTTACAAATTCAAATGCGCGCTTCTGGGCTCCCTCTCTTTCCAGCTCTTGTTGCCCAATCTTGATCGGACTGCACTCTGCCGGGCCACTTTCTCATTGTTCGCCATGCTTGCTTCCCTTGGTCTTGGAGCAGCTGCTATTTGCAAGCAGACGAGGTTTTTTTTTGCAGGGCGAACGCCGCAAGCCTTGTTCTCGAGGTCCGCCGAGCGAAACAGCAGAAAAGGAGATGGGGCAGGGTCGTGGCGGGGCCGCGCCCAGCTCCCGCGGGCGGCCCAGTCTTTGGGCCAGGCGTAACGGGGGGGCGAGAAATGGAAGGGGGGGGGGGACGGGGCAGCGAGGGCTGCAGACGAGGAGTTTCGCAGGGCCCCTGAAGGGGCCCTTCAGGGCACCTTCCCCCCCCCCCCTTCATTTAGCGCCCCCCATCAATTCGCCCCCCATCAATTCGCGGCCCAAGGTGGGATACTGCGAGGACGCGGACATCGGGAGCCAGGTCAAGGTTGCTTGCCCGCTGATGCCGCGGGCTGCCGCCCAGCGCCGCGGGAAGGCGGTCCCAGAGCCCCCGGCCACCTCGCGGCCCCCGAGGCAGCAGCAGGCAGTGGGTGAGTGGGGGGGGAAGAGGAGAAGATTTTGAGAGGAGGGAGGAGGGTGGGGGAGATTTTCGGAGGGGAGGAAGGCGGGCGGGGGGAGATCTCGGGGGGGGGGCGAGATGACGGGGGGGGGATTTCGAGCGGGGGAGGGGAGGGGACCGGGAAGAGAAGACTTTCGGCCGGGGGCGGGATTTTCGGGAGGGGGGGCTGGTTCCAGGGCAGGGGTGGGGTGGGCGCTGGGGCTTTGCGATCGGCGCAGCGTGCACAGAAGACGCCCCCAGAAGTGCTCGGAGGCCGTTCCCGGACAGCGTTCCTGCAACGAGGGGGGGGGGGGGCCGTTGTGCGCGGCGGGGGTTGGGAGAAGGCTTGAGCAGCTTCTGATGAGGCCGGGAGTGGTGATCGCGTTCTGTGCGCTGTTTTGCCGACCGGTGCGGGGCCTGCCGCCCCCGGGCCGTTTTCGGCGCCTGCTTCACGCAGGTGGAGTCCCTGCCCCATGGGGTGCGCTGCTGCAAACAGCCGCACGTTAAGCAGAGGTCTGGAGCCAGATCCCCTCCTCCCCTGCTTCCGCCCAGTGCTGGAACGCCGAGTCAGAAGGCGTTCGTAAGGCCTCTGAGCCTTCCGAGAAGGCACGCCCCCTCTTCTTCCTTCTTCCTCCCTGGGCGCGCCGCCGACTGGGGTCGTGGGCGCTCCTTGGGGGACTTTTTGGGGGGATCTTGGGGTTGCTTTGCGCTCAGCTTCTGTCAGGCGATCGCGAACATGGATCAAGGGGGCGTGGATTAGCGACGGGTCCCGTTTTCATGAGAAATCGCGGATTTCCGCCGCCGAACGAGGCGGCGCTGGCCGCACTTTTTGGGGAGGGCACCTCCCCCGATCCATGGATTTGGCGACCGCGCGCCAAATCCACTGATCGCTACTCCAGATCCTTCAATAAGCACCCCCCCGTGCCAACTTGTCCGACGCCCCTTGCCCGCCCCCCGACGCGCCCCAAACCCACTCCCTCTCGCTCCCCAACCTCCCCACGCCCCCCGAAGGACAGCGGTCTTCTCCTACCCCCCCGACGCGATCCAGCCCCCCACGCTTATTGAGAGACCAGGAGTGATCCATGTTGGCGAGCCCACGATTCTGGGAGGCTCACGCGCGGGAGCGCCAGAGAGGTCCCAAGAAATCCCGGAATTCTGGGGAACGGGCCCCGGATCGGGGCCCCTCCGGATCCCCCACGAGCATTCGAGCGCCAGCCCATGCATGCCTCGATGCTCCTACAGTCCCGTACGGTCGGGGCGCCGAAGAGGGAACCCTCTTCGTTTGGGAGGGGCTCGGTGTTCCTCAGTCGTGTTGCAGCTCGCCCTAGGTGTTCCCCAGGTCTTCGATGGGAGGTCGAATCCTAACTTGCGCATGGAACAGAGGGGCCTCGTTCCTCATTTAGGGTTCCTTGGGTCAGCGCCCCGACTGTAGCACACTCACAACTGTGTGACCCCTGGGGCAGTCCACCATGCCCAGCGGCGCGCCCAGGGGGGAAGTCGGAGGGGGCGGGCCTCCCCAGAAGGCTCAGAGGGCCTCCAGGCTCTGAGAAACTTCCTATAAGCCTTCTCCGGAGGCGACCGAGGGGTTCTCAAGAAGGCCAGAGGGCTTCTGGGAGGCCCCGTCGCTTGTTGGGAAGGTCTGCCCCCTCGGCACTTTCCCCCCTCGGCGCGCCGCCGATGTGTGCGGAAGGCATGATGGTTGATTCATCTGGCAACCACGACAGCAGGTTGTGCAGAGAGGGTCCCAGAGCTCCTCCCAGGGCAGCTTTTTCGACAGCATCCGCGCGCCTCGGATTCTGCCCCGATCAAGTTGGGAGCCCTCCTTTCCTAATGCCACCGAGGCGCCGACACGAGAACCACTGTGGGCTCAGTCGGGATTCTGACCCTCGGGCCGCTCCTTACGTTTAGGTCGGGGCCGTTCCTACAGTCGACCCGCACAGTAAGGATGGGCAGCCTTCCCGAGGGTACCCTTGCATTCTCGCCTCCGCGGTCCATCCTTCGCCGCTTTCGCTGGCTGCGCCCCGCTCGAGGAGCTTCGAAGCGGCCCTCCAGGGCCCTTGCATCTTTACAGTGGAGACCCATGCCAAGAAACACCATGCTTGCCTCCAGGGTGCCCTGGGTTTCTTGGGTTTCGATGGTTTTGCCATGGACAGCGCGACGTTCCCACACCAAAAATCGATGGACGTCCTGGGGTTTCAGGGTTGGGTTTTTTGTGGAAGGTTTCTTGTGGTCGGGCCCCGACTATATCGCGCGTCCTTATGACACGGGTTTGCTGTATTTGTGGTCAGGGCCCGCCGAGGCCGGAAAAGTCCCCTCGTTCAATCCTCGGCGATCCTGATACGGCAACACGATGGCCGTACTACCCCTGGTCGCGAAGGCGAGCTAGACTCACTAGCAGAGGTCCCAAACTCCAGAGTCCAGACCACAGTGGGTCGCCGACCAGGCGTGCCAGGCCCGTTGTATTCCCAGTTCGTTGCGCTCGCTTACGTTATCGGCTCGTCTGTCCGCAAAAGCAGAAAAACGAGGGCCCTACTACCCCTCGATGGCAGGGGGGGTCCGCGGTCGTGTGGGCGATGCGACCTCACTGGTTTCGGCCTCAGTGGGCGTCCCTTCGTGGGCACTGCAGCATGCGCCGACCTGCCGGCGTACGCGCCGCCGCACTTCAAGGAGCGCGTTGGGCGCCACAGGAAGGAGGGCAATTCGGCGGCGCGCCGGGGGAACTGCGTGTTTTTGAAGCCAGATCGGGCTTAAGAAACGGCGTGTTTGCGAAGCCTGATCCAGCTTTAAAAAACGCGCAGTTCTCGAAGCGAGAGGGGGCAGGCCTTCTCGTGAGCCCTGGCCTTCTGAGGCTGCCCGCCCACGCTGCCTGCCACCCCCCCGGCGCGCCACTGGCAGGCGAGGTCGGGAGCCTCGAGACGGGGGTCGATGCAGGCCGGGGTCAGCCTGAGCGCTGGATTCTGCAGCATCCTGCAGAGCCAAGGCTGCACGGACCGGGGCAGTCCTGCAGAATCCTGAGCTTCACTGACCCGGGTTTGGATTGACCCAGGTCAGTGCGTCCTCCTCCTCCTCCTCCTCCTTTCCTCTTGCTCCTCCTCCTCCTCCTCCTGCTCCTCCTCCTCCTCCTCCTCCTCCTCCTCCTCCTCCTCCTCCTCCTCCTCCTCCTCCTCCTCCCCCTCCCCCTCCCCCTCCCCCGCCTCCTCAGATCCCCGAAGAGGGAGGTCAGGGCTTGGGTGCGGTGGTGCTGCAGACTCGGGCCGCAGAGGCCGCTGCCAGATGGAGGGCGCGGGGAGAGCGCTTCCCAGACGTGGTGGGCGCGTCGAGGGAGGGGCGAGGAGCCGGGCCGCTTAAGCATTGCCACAGCAAATGGGGCCCGAGGCCAGGGGCGGGGGGATCGCACCGCGTCGCCGACGCGTCTGCGTTGCGGCGGGGCACCGCCGACGCATCGGCGACACGGTGCGACCCTTAGACCCCGTCTGGTTTGGCCCCATTTGCAGCCCCGCGATTCACGCCCGAACTCCCCAACCCCCTGGCCGGATCTCTTTTCTTCTTTCCGCGGGGGGTCAACCTTCGCGGCGACCCGTGAAACCTGGGACTTTCGGCGGCGCATGGATTTCTTTCCTTCTCCCGCGTGAGTTGCCATTGGAACCCCTGAGCCCCTCCGACTTCCGTACAATTAGCACTTGAGTACGACTGGTATTATCATGTACTAGCGCGATGTTGCTCCTAGAGAGCACGTTGTCCTGCCGTGCAAGTATTCGAGTGCAACTGGTTTCATATTACAACTGGTCGAATTGTGCGCCCTAGTACAACTCCCTAGTACAAATCCCTAGCACTAGTACAACTCCCCGGTGCAACTCCCTGGTACAATTCTCTAGCACAAATGGTGCCAGTACAATAATTTGATGCAATTCCCGAGTGTTCTTACCACTCGGTAGTACAAGTCCCTAGTCCAACTCCAAGGTACCTCTCTTTAGTTAGACAGCAATGTATAGTACAATTCCGTAGTGCAACCTAGTGATATAATGTAATAGTACAACTGCCTAGTACATCTCCCTAGTACAACTCCCCAGTGCAACTCCCTGTGCAATTACATGAGTGCAACTCCCTGTGCAACTCCCTAGTGCTAGTCCAACTCCCTAGTACAACTCCCAGTAGGACTCCCTGGTACAACTCCCTATTGCTAGCACAACTCCCTAGTGCAACCACTGTTAGAGTGTTGCTGCATTGCATTTACAATCTGGGCTCTCACGCTTTTCCTCCTCTGGTTGTGCTGGGGGGGGGGGACCCCTCGCGCGGGAGCCCCCGCGGCTGAGAATTCATTCCTCTTCCGGAATTTGAGGCGGGGGTAACCCTCATGCTCGAACCCCTCGCCAGGATTTTTTTCTTTCCCCCGCGGAAGCCGGACCCCCTGGGTTCCTGGGTGCGCCCCAGAAGTTCTTTCCTTCCGGATGGACCCCCATGGGTCCTTGATTGGAGTCGCGGGGCTGATACCCTATTTGGGCGACCTACCAGGGAGTTTAAGGCTCGTCGTCGTAGTCAAGGAGGGCGACGAGGAGGATGACTGGAAGAGGGCCAGTTGAGACAACGGCAGCCCTCCCGCCTGGTCTAAATCTGGTCCCAATCTGTCCTTGGACCCTTTTCCCCCTCCCTGTGGCTCCAGCCCCGTCGTCAGCTGGAAAAAAAAGAACGGTCCCCGGACCCCTCCCAGGGCCCATCGCGGCCGGGTGGTGGGCCCCTGCTGTCTCCAAGAGGGGCCCCAAGGGCCAATTTAGGCCATTTCTCTTCACCCCCCTTCTAGGTCACCCCCTACTTCCGCTACAGTGGGGGCGCGCATCAAGAAACCATGTGCTTTTCGTCAGGGTACCCTGGGTTTCTTCGCTCCTCGCGCTGCGCGGTGACTTCCCGCAGCCGCTGAAGGAGCTGCTGCGTTCAGGGTGCTCCAGGTTTCCCCTCGGGTGCACCTCGTGCACGGGCTCTCCGGAGTGAGTTTCTTGCAGGGGTGTCTTGCGGCCGCGCCCGCACTGTGGCCCGACGGTCCTGCGCCCGGACCCGTTCTGCAAGACGGCTCCGGCCGTGGCGACGCGTCGGACGCGTGCTGTTGCACGGGCCGGCACGCGCAGAAGCTCACCACCCACCAAGCCACCCCAAGCCAACCCGAAGGCCCAAATTCATCCTCGATTTCCAGTGGAGAGGGGTCGGGGAGCATGGAAAAAGCACGTGGAGCCCGCACCCCCCCCAACCCGAAATCGGGGTCGAGTTCGGGCCTTCGGGTTGGGTTGGGGTGGTCTGGTAGGCAGTCAGAAGCGTGCGTCGAACTGGTCTGGCACGGCAGGTTTTGCGTCGTGTCGACGGGGCGGCGACCCCAGCCGCCAGCGTTCGGGGTTGAACGCTGGCGGCGGCCCAGAGTCCGTCGATGCTGAACGATCAGACCTCTGACGTTTCGGAGTAGGCCGCTCGTTCGCAGCTGAACGATCCCCGCGGTGTCAGGAACCAACGCCGAAGTCGGCACGACACGAGCCTGCCGTAGCCTCAGGAGGTCGTTAGGTCGCTATTCTTGCGTCCTCCCCCTTGGTTCTCTGCTTTTGCCGTGTTTGCTATTATTTGGGAGGGCCTGGACCCAATCTACTTCATCCGCCTTCCTACTTCATGTCTTCACCCATTTCTTCCGACCGACGTATACAGTCGACCCGCACAGCAGGGATGTGCGACTTCCCAAGGGTACCCCTGCATCCTTTCCTCCTCGGCCCACCCTTCGCCGCTTTCGCTGGCCGCGCCCCGCTCGAGGAGCTTCGAAACGGCCCTCCAGGCCCTTTGCGAGTGCGGCCCGAGGGCGGCCCGAGCAGGGATCGGTGAAACGATACCGAGCATCAGGTCCGGAGGCAGAGCTCCTGATCCCCGGGCTCTGGGCAAGGGGGCGGGGGGCCCGACCTGCATGGGGCCGCCCCCCTGCTCGGGCGTCCTTACGACACGGGCTGGCCGTCTGCGTGGCCGAGGCCCGCCGTGGCCGGAACAGTCCGTTCGTTCCTCACTCGGCGTCCCTTGCAGTGGAACCCCAGGCCAAGAAGCTGTCTGCCTGTTCTTCCGGGGCGCCCACTCGTCGACTGGCCGCCCTCGCTGGGGAGGACGGGGAGCCCCACAGGGGGGGGGCGCGGTGCTCGCCTCGCCGCTGCTTTTCCCCCGGTGCGCGCCCACCGGCGGCTCCCGAGGCCGAGGCCTGCTCTCGTGCGAGGGTGGATGGAGGAGGAGGAGGAGGAGGAG